ATATTTCACCAAAATTATCAAAGTCAGAATATTCGGAAGAGTTGAGCCAATTCTCCCAATCAGCATCGTTAAAGTCAGTATTAACCGATTGGCTGATAGCAAACTTTTCAGGTTGTTTGTCTTCGTATATTTGTCCCGTTATCCATTCTTCTTGCAAAAACGACGTGGTCGATGTTGAGGAAGTCCCGGGCTTTTGAGTTGTAATGTTATTCATTAATGTAGATAAATTTTCCGTTACACTTTTTCCATCCCTTGGTATAATTGCATGAAGAAAATCGTTTGTAGAATTGGAAACATTTTCCAATACTTTTTTTTTGCCATTGGAAAGTGATTGCGAGAATAGTTTGGTATTATTAGATGAAGTATTTTGTTCTTTAGTATTTTCAGGCATGTTAATAAAAGGAACGAATAAAAAGTTGGATAAAATACTACTGATAATCTATCCGTTATTTCTCGATATCAGTCACGGGACAGTTGTGACAATTAAATAAATTAAAATTACTTAAGATAACCTATATTAATTTCTAAGTAAAATATGTTCAGCATCTAAAAAAATATATAATTATACATTTTTTAAACAGATTTATTAATTATTAAAGCTTAGACATGCTCTGAACACTTTTGGACACTTGGACATTTGGACGTTTGATAGTGCCAAAAAAGCCTTGGACAGTCAAAACGTACATCACTGAATATAACCCGTTATTAAAAATGACGGGCCCAATGTATAGGAATCATATAAAGAAATTTATAAATTAATAAATACAGTATATGAAAGAATTGATATAGCATATATATAGATCTGTAGATGATGACACGATCACTACGATCACTACGTAGTAGTGTCAATCATAAGTTGCAACTAATTTTTTTATATCACATGATCTCATTAGGTGATTAGCCAATCAAACCAAAGATTTAAACACGAAACAGCCCGATTGGACGGAATATATAGGAACTGTACCAGTTTGATTAATCGATTAGTTTGAAATTTTTTTAAATCGATTAGTTGGAAAGTTGTCAACTAGTTGATTTTTCAACTAGCGATTTGGATCACTAATCACTAGCGTTCTACTGTACCAGCATTTTGTGGAATATTTTAATGTTAAGCCTGAGCCATTTATCCAGATTTGCTAGTTGAATGCACCATGGAAAACGGCAAAGTCAGAGGGAAAAAACCTCAGCAATTTGCTCAACTTGATGAATTTGATTGACCTAGCTGCGGAGCCATATATTTTATAGACCTTTCCCAAGTCTCAAGCACTGACAAAACTCAGTAGATTACCATCAAGTGCGTGAAGAGATTTTACACACGTTTGGAATGTCTGTGGGGTACTTAAAGAAATTAGTTCCAAAACTTGGAAAAAAGAATGCATTCATCAATTTTAAAGAACCTGAAGCTATTGTTCAAGTTTGTCGCAGAAAAATTTGATTGCTCTAAGATCTCTATTTAACACAAGCCAAGGAGTGAGTTTGTCCGATTCAATGTCTGTTTGATGAGGAGTTTTGATTTTCCCGAGTTCTTTATGAGGAATACCTGTGTTATAGCCTAGATATGAAACCTGGAAGCTCCGGAACTTGCAAACTCAAAAATGTCCACCGGAGGTTTGCCAAATTTCTTCTTCAACAATAAATTAAATATCAATAAAAGGTTTATTTAATCTAACATGGTAAGACATTCATTAATAAAAACATTCATCCTGCCAATAAACGGAAGGCATATTTTGTCTTTTAAGAAAAGTTCCTCGGGAATTCTTTACAGTCAACATTGACAAGTCGTTGAAATCATAAACGTTATTTGCGATAATTTCTTATTAGTTAAACGCTATATTCTCGTACTTGGAAACTCAGGTAGAAGTTTGTCGAATTGTTTAATTTTTATATTTTTATAGAGCTACCCGTGATTTTAATCCAAAATTAATGCATAACATAGTTATTACAGTATAATTTATTATTAATGATTTAACGATTGGTCCACCCCAACCCAAAAATAACTGTTTAGGACTTAATTCAAATAATGGTCCTGATTAAATACAATCCAAGTTAAAAAAAACAGTTCAACACTATAGTGAAGTTAAATAAAAATGAAAGCAAAAAAAAGATTAACTAGGAAAAATAACTAAGATACGTGTACCCTGACTATAGATGCCTGACGAAACCATGTGATGCTAATTGTCACATGTTATTACTTATAAAAATTAG